GCCGCGGGCCTGAATCTCACGGACCCTAGCATTGCAAATGTCACTGACAACTATGTCTACTGGATCGACACTCTTCACACCAACAAGTCTGACGTCCTGCCATATCTCAGTGGCACAGCTCAGCCTCCGCCAAAATATGCTCGCGTCGTCATCTTCGCGGGCGGAAAAACAGAGCCAGATTCGCAAGAGTACATGGTTGGACCGCTCCCGGTCAGCAATGCTACCAAGATCGAAAAGCTCGACTACATCTTCAACGGCGGAAGTGGGGGCAAGATCCCTTACAACAGTCGCTACTTTGACAACGCCCGCACGGTAGCGTCGGAGCCGCTCTTGATCTCTGTCATGAGCAACATCTCGGATATCACTTCCCAACTCATTGATGGAGTTTACTATGGCTCCTCCGATAACCGCACAACTCTCACTTCCACAAGCGGAACGCCGTTGTCATATGATGGCACGCAAGCCTTTCGCACAGTCATGTTCAGATTTCCCAATACTGCTACGTACCTCACTCCTTTGGACTTCTTCGTCATTCTTGACGTTACTGGCACGGACTCCTCCCTCTACAAGTTGAAAGGCATTGTCACGAACGAAAAGTTCTTTGCCACTGTCGCCGACTTCAGGGCTGCTTGGGACGCAGGCGAGTTGAAGGAGACATTCAAGCAAACAAGGACTCCTGATTGGGGCCTTCTTGACCACAAGACGGATATGGGCGTCAGAGATCTTGAGGACAAGCTGGCGCCTCAGAGTCTTGAGGTTGGTGGCAAGCGCTACAAAGTCGACGAGCAAGAGAAGTACATCGAGTACATGGGGTGGTCATTCTATACATCCTACTCGAGAACCCTTGGGCTGATGTACTATGACATTAAGTTCAAGGGTGAGCGCGTCATCTACGAGCTCTCTCTTCAAGAGGCAGCTGCTCAATATGCCGGATTCACTCCCAAAGCTGCCGGAACTGTGTACCACGATACCTACTACAGCCTTGGTACAGACCTTGGCACCCTTGTGGAAGGATACGACTGTCCTTTTGGCAGCACTTTCTGGAACGTCACATATCACGAGGGCAACTCTTCGGTTGTGAACACGGACGCCATTTGCATCTTCGAGGCTGATGTCGGATATCCGGTCTCTCGCCATCGTTACGGAAGCAGCAACGACTACGGCTTCAGCTATCTCGGGACCGTCAAGGCGTCCGCGCTGACGATGAGATCCGTCGCGACTGTTGGCAACTACGACTACATGTTTGACTACTCATTCCATGTAGATGGCTCTCTGGAAGTCACTGTCCGTGCTTCAGGATTCCTGCAGTCGTCATTCTACTACGCAGACCAGGGTAACTTCGGTCCCAGAATTCAGGAGGCAACTATGGGGTCACTCCACGACCACATTCTCACCTACAAGGCCGACTTTGACATTCTTGACACCAAGAACAGCCTCGAAGTCAGCCAGCTCGTCGTTGTCAATCAGACTCAGCCTTGGTATCCCGAGCTCGGATCTTTCGAGCAGATGGAGTTGCAGAAGTCCACCATGACTGAGGAGCAGCAGTTCAACTGGCAGCCGAATAATGCTGCCATGTACTGCATTGTCAACCCCAACGCCACCAACGCATGGGGCGAGAAGCGTGGCTACCGCGTGGTGCCAGGCAAGTCCAACATCCACCTTACCCCGCTGAACTCGCCTTGGACCAAGCACCAAACACCATTTGCCAAGTCACATCTCGCACTCTCTCGCCAGCATGACAACGAGCCATACGCAAACAGCCACGCGAACGTCAACCTTCCCATGAAGCCTCAGCAGGACTTCCTCAAGTTCTTCGATGGCGAGGGCACTGACAACGAGGACATTGTCTTATGGTTCAACTTGGGAATGCATCACTTTACCAGAGCTGAGGACATTCCTGTCACTCTTTACAGTGAAGCTGTTAGCAGCATTGTGTTTGCCCCACAAAACTTCAACGACAGGGCCCAGGACGGAGACCTTCTCAACAGGAGATGGGTAGCCGTTAATGAGACAACAGGACAGTTGGAATACGACTCATACGGAGTTGCTTTGCCTGGACAGTGTGAGGTAGATTTCTCTGAATCTGTTTTGAGCATCAAGAAGAACGACGAGATATAGAGGTCAACCGTCAAGCTAGATGTTTTCATGATGCTTTTGTACCTAGACTTCGATAATCATTGCGCTAAGACTGTCACCAATACAAAAGAATGTTGACATATTGACTGATGAATAATTGATATTTGTCCAACATGAAATGTACATAATACATAAATCAGGCTCCATTTGGCATCCAATCAGGGTCTGCGAGTTCAACTCCATCGGGGACAAACCCAGGAGCAACTTCTCTAGATTAGAATTGGATATTTCATACGCGGAGAGGAAATTTTACCAGTTGTTCCCACAAGAGTCCAGCTTCCATGACTCGTTGCCCTTTGCCATTGATCCTTTGCAATGACGTACTGGGGCTGTTGGTTGTTGAAGACGTCAGGACCGAGCACTATCTCTTTTACCGGGTTCCCATCATCGTATGACAGGGACAAAGTGAGAGGAGCTCCTGCATAGTGGTGCCAGGCTTCTGCTGCATCAACGCGGTGCCAGATCGAAGGTCCAACGGACCCCTCCAGAAGGTAGTAAATCGCTGTGCTGACTGAGCGGTTGCCGCTGTCCGTATCGGGATCCTGGAACGTCTGGATATAGTAGCCCTTCTCTTCATTCGGAATAAGGCCGAGCTTCTGCACAACTTCTTGGGCCGATCGCTTGTCAATTGGACATGGCTTCTTGGGCGACGCGGAAACACCCGGCGCCAGGGCATTGAGAACCCAGAGCAGCGGTGCGGTGCGGTACAGCAGCATCATGAGCGTGTGTCGGAATGCTCGGACATCAAGTTTCGCAAAATCATGCATCAAGGACCTTGGGCCAGTTGCTCTCTATATATCGGTGAGATTGGCGAGTAAGCACTACTGTATTTAGGCGGAGTGACGCGGAGGCGTTGTTCAGGGATCGCGCTTACTTACATCTTAGGCGATGGCGCTGTTCCTTCGAGTGGGACACAAGACGAGAAAGGTGCTGCGCTAATATCGGGTGTCACATCCCATTTAAATATGCTGGCAAGAGTCCATTGTTCATCGTGATTTCAACTTAGCTAAGCGCTTAAGCTATGAAAACGCCCCGGAAGCACATCATCACTTTACATGTATAGAGCTTTTAGCCTCTACTCCAAGCCTGAGGGAATGAATAAATTTCCCTGAAAGATGTATCTTGCAGTGTGCATGAAGCCCAGTCTGTGAAAATTCGGTGTACCACTGTAGCCTTCGCAGTCATCAGTCTTGACAGAGATTGGGAGATGTCCTGCCGGGTGCTGAATGACGAACTCATCTTCTGCCAGCGTCTCGGGGGCTAGAAGTTGGTTAACGACGGACCCCTTGATGCGACTGGCAGCAGTTGTGCATACACCTCCTGTGCCTGCCATGCTTGGATGACAGTGATTGTCGAGAAAGAGGCGTGCCTGAATGTGGCCCTCAGACGAGGTCGGCTTAGACAACACAGCTACCATTGGCAACGTGGGAGACTGTTCATCAACATTCTCCCACTCCTTGCACCTACCCAACTTCTGGGAAATTCTCCCGCGGATTTCTCGAACCCGTTTCACAAGCTCTCTATCAGAATCGATACTGTCGACTGGTTCATCCCCTGCAATACCCACGCTTCCTGCGGTGACGAAGGCGATTGGGTTCCCAACTTCACAAAATGTGGCATCAACGGCTCCGAACGTACAATCGAGGCGATCAATTGCATTGCCAGTCGGAAGCATCCTCCTGGGCGAGGCGGTCTACTTCCTGCGTTACATTTCTGCCGCGTACGAATTTGGAGGTCAAGACTTACCTGGGAGTAGTCCATCAGAATAGGCGCACCCGTGCCTTGACAGCCGGAGATAGCATAGTTTCCCTTCTCCAAAGCACGTCCAGTTGCTGGATCAACAGGGACATGGGCAACCAGCAGAGCATTCGTTCCCGTGTTGTAAATCTTCACAACTCTTTTCCCATGGCACCATGTTGAGCTTTTGACCAGGCCTTCGTTGATCGCGAACGGCCCAGCACCAGAAGAAATATTGCCGCAGTTTGCATCATACGAGACTGCTGCCTCCCCGAGACCGATTTGAGCAGAGATGTAATCGATGTCGGCGTCGGGTCGCTTGGATGGTCGAATGATGGCAACCTTTGAGGTGACAACACGCCCACCACCCATGCCGTCGATCTGGGCAGGGTCTGGCGAGCCCATGACGCGAACCAGAAATCTGTCACGCGCTGCGCCAGGCGGCGGGATGTCCTTCTCGTGAAAGAAAACTGCTTTGCTGGTGCCTCCGCGGATGAAGGCTGCGAAAACACTGGGAGCAGGCGATACTGACTTTGTCGCCATTGCTTCAACGTTTCAGGCTTTTTAGGTGGATTAAAAACCGACCGATGGCCAAGTATGCCAGCTTAATGGACTCGAATGATTATTGACTGCAAATTTCCTCGAAAAGCCGATATCAACTTTGGAGAACGAGGTATTTGCAACAGACTTCGCGGCTGGCAGGTGTCCGTGAAGGTGTGGGAAGTCTTTGGTTACGGCTGAGGATGACTCTGAATGGCGAGAGCATGCCCCTAAGGCAAATGCCGTGGCGGTATTGACCATTCACCCAGACACGCCAGGTTGCTTTGAGACATTTGCAATGACGACGGAGGCGTGGACGCTACACAGCAATGTGGCTAGCTGAGGCGTTTCGGATGAATCGATCAGCTCACTAGTCTCCTTTCAATTGCTGTGGCTTGATTCTGGTATCTCATAACTCTCTTATTCGATTACTTGCGACGAACGAAAAGTCTAAGAAGATTCATATTGCACAACTCATTGGCATGGATGGCCAACGATTCATGCGAATGAGAAGAGCGTGAAGCAACGTGTAGCTTCGTATTATGGAATTGGAAAGAAAAGGTTCAGAGGCAAAAAGTTATAAAATGTTCCGAAACCGAGAATCGAACTCGGGGCTATGCCTGCCTCTCGAAGATGAGAGGGCATCATGTTGGCCACTACACCATATCGGAGTGATGACTGGAGATCTGTGTGAATAATTGGTAGAAGAGATAGCTCGGTGCAGAATTTTCTTAAACCCACGGCGCCCTTCCGATGGTGGATACGCCAGCGGGGACAGTTCCCCGTTGTCAAGATTGGGCCTTTTGTAAAAGAGTTGCAGCCAGGGTTAGCCGAAATCACGTTGGATCCCGGCCATGCAATATGATTCACGTTTCCAGAACTGTGTTCGACGGTCTTTTGAGTCGCATTATTCGATATTTGTTTGCATTCGACTGGCTTGGATGATTAGGTACTACAGCCCAGCCCAATTGGATTTCTTGAAAATGATAAGAATGGTATCCAAGGCCACCTGCGCTCCTTTTCCTAAGCTAATTAGAAATCAACTCCCGAAGTACGACGGACTGCCCCATCAGAAGATTCGTTGAGTCAGCTTCAAGTTGCAAAACCAGAGATAAACAGCGTTCAAGTGCTGTTGACCTAGCGCCCGTTTCCTCCTGGGTAGATGACTTGGAGTCACTGTCGGTGGTTGACAATCCCACCTGGAAGACTGTGTGAGATATCGTCCAATTAATCGGAAAAACCAGAATGGGTGCGTCATCCTGGGTAACCGAAAACAATTTTCCGAACAACTGCTGTTGCCTCGTAAGTTGCAAGCCCGCATCGGACAGAGCGTTGCAGACGCGAGGAGCATCTCCTCCTGCAGTGGGCCACAGGAGGGATATCAGAAAGATTCCATGGTGGTAACTGAACTCGACCCAAGAAATCAATCCGGCATAGGGCTCTCTTGCAACCTCTGGGACGGAGTTCATTCTTTCTTTCCAACGCACGAACCACTCGTCTAGGACCCGACGATGCCCTTGACAGGCTCCTTGGAGGTCGTCTCTTTTCACTTTTAGGCTGTTTGCATCATTTGCGAGAAGAGTGTTGTGAATCTTCATCTTTAGAAACGCAATCAAATACGACGATACGGAAATCTGCTCTCTGATCGTGCCAGTAGTTTGATTGGTAAGCTCCTAAAAGAAGGTCAGACGAGATCATGAATGCACTTGAACGGCACTATGCTCACCTTGCGAAGCCCATCGCCGATGGCCAGGAGGCTGGGTCGTCCGAAGGCGATGGAAACTTGACTAAGGCAACATTAGACGTCTTATCAGATGTAGGCTGGAAAACTTGGGGGCATACCTTTCTAGACAATACAATGTCCTCGTTAGAGTGCAAAACCAATCATGACCCTCGTCCAACTCCTCCGTAGAGGGACGATGGGAAAGGTCCAGATAGTGTCTGATTGCGAAACCCAGATGTCGCCAAATGTCACCAGCCTGTGGATTCAGGAGGAGATAGATGCAAATTAGCAAGGTCCTTTCAAATAGGAGAACATTTGATGCGCGAGAGCTGTGGTCGCAGTCAGTGTGTAAGACTTCAATAGCCTTTGCGAATGATGACTCCGCCCATAAAACCAGCCTAGGGTCGCTCTTTGTGCCAACCGAAGATGCTATTGCCACCACCAGATAGAATAACTCAGCATCTGTACTTGGCTGCGACCTTGAAAAGTCAAAGAATCCATTTAGAATGCGGTCAAGGGTTGAAGATTCCAACACAGGAAAGAAAGCATTCGCAGATCGGTTGAACAGTTGAAAAAGACCTCCAGCTAACGTCTTAGTGATCTCGCCGTTCCAAGGCAATCTCATTGGCGAAACGATGTGGCAATTCCATTTGGTGGCAGTTCTCAGAGTCTCGGGAATTGTGAATGAGCGCTTCTGAAGTAAGTTTCGAAGGCAACCGAAAGCACTCGACGTCCCAAAGAACGAATCGCCGCACTTGCGTTGCGAATCACCACATAGTAGCTCCTCCTGCGGGCCAGGTCTCACTGGCAGCAGGACACCCATTGTACGTCTTTTCACATGTTCATCATCCGTTCGGAGTGTAGGAGCTGGCGAACTAGTTGAAGCTGTATGTCGGATCTGTTCCAGGAGAGAGTGTATGCGCCTATTGAACTTCATCATTAACAATCCGGCAAGATCCAAGGAAATCCTTTTCGAACATACTTCAATGGCACATTGCTCCCCAGGATTGGGTCATATACCACGCAATTACGTGAAGTGCGATGGCATTCCTTGCAAGCTGGTAATTGGAGACGACACTTAATCCGTCGGTCTCTACAAAAGCTACATGAAGGTAGAGCGTCGATTATTGGTCGTAGTTGCTTTTCTAGACCGGATAGATCTTGTCTTGGGTCGGGCGGATGTTGGATTCTCTCGTACGGGAGGATAGAAACTGAACTCTGTGCGGCATCAGGTGAAATAAGTGAAAAGGGACTGTCGTTCGTAACTAAATCATCGTTGATGAAGTCCCGCCACCAGTTTTCGTCCTCAAACAGACCTTCACCCATCTCCTGACCACTATCTTTCGGTTGAGTGGCAGCAGCAGCAGCAGATTTCTTCTGCTGTGGCAATACAACGTTGCGATGGCGAATGCTGTGGATTCGTCGTTGGGTGACGAGACAGTCTAGCTCCTCAAGGACATTCATGTCGTAAGCGCTACCACTATGGCCGACTGGATTGCGGAGATTCGTATCGCCTAGCTCGTTGATATATGCAGCAGTGTCTGCCAAAGGTGGCCATCTCGAGGACAACAGATTCTGGCCCATGTTAGGCTCCGTCCCGGAAGTGGAAAGACAAACACATGAAGTACGTACGAATAGTTGCACAAGATCTGAAAGCGCTCTCTCCGCTGCAACCGTGAGCGAAGCTTCCTCCAGCTTTGCAGAGTGGTTCCGGAGAGCGTAAAGCAAAACCATCCCGGCTTGAAAATCCCGATTGCCAATTTCGAATGCCATGACGAGCCCCCCTGCTTTGGCGATATTCATGTCGAGAGCAATCAGATTGGTCGCTGCAATTACAACGGCCAGTAACGACTCGTCAGACACGACAATGTTTCTGGAACATGGCCGATGGAGTAGAACGCGACATTGATAAGGTGCTGAAGTTAGCCACGGATCAACCAAAGATCCAAGCGTGGCCTCGTTTGCAAGCCTTTGAACGGCTTCGTTGGTTTTACTGGTCCAGTCGGCGTGGTCCTTGACGTAGTCTGGGAGGGATTGATCGAAGAACTGGGTGGCGTGTATTTCTGACTGTAAGACGCAGGCATGCGTTCTCATGAGGAACCGGCCTGGCGTGACGCTCTGAATGTTTCCGCAATGATTGCTATCTGTATCACCATGAAACGGACTGCCCCCTCCATACGGAAGCTGGGTTGTGATGTGTTCGTCACTTAGGGCGACAGGACATCCCGCAGATATAGAAACGATCCTATCGAGCTGGTAAACCTGATTCAGATATTAGAATTTGTTCCGGAGTTTAATTTCATACTAAACCTACAACCCAAAAAAGCTTGCGTCGCTCTTCGCAGAGTTTGTGGTCCCTCATGATTCGGTCATCGGGCTCCTGGTGTAGTCCCAAGCTCACTGCTATCCGCATAGCTTCCCCAGTCGAATGCCATAAATTAGTGGTGTGCGGAAGTAACAGCGCGAGTTGAATGACGAGAAGCAGACATTTCAATGAATGAATGGATGCATGCTGCAAAATCCGCTCTGCGTGACGCAAAGCATCGGATTGTAGAGCCTCGCTCAGGGCAGCAACCTTTTCGAAGCTGTTGTTTCTGGATGTCAGTGAGCATATAGCCAAAACCATGGGAACTACAAAATCTGCGATGTCTGCCAGGTTTTCGTTGGTGGTTTTGGATAGTTTCTGCTCGTAGAATAAGTTGAAATATTTACCAATTTCGTCCTCTTCAAAGCAGGGGAATCTAGGCAGGATGTCCATTTTGTAATTCTCAAAAAGCCGTTTTGCCACATGTTGAGGTATTCTTCGAGCGTTGAAGTGGACAAATTGAGATGCGTATGCATGCCCGGCCGTTCTTGGGCTGAGCTCGTGATAGATACCACCTATTGGAATCTTGAGTGGAGGTCTTTCAGAACCGTAAAAGAGCTTCGCCTTATGCTGAATTTTGTCACTGCATTCGAAGCCACTTGCTGATAAAGAACGCATAACAGATATACCAGTGATCTGGAGGATATCCTTTTCTACAGCGTTGATATTCAAGTCGTCTTGTGTCGGCAACGCCGCATTCGTAACATTCTCTCTTGTGGTAGCAAGGGTTTCGAGTTCGGCCAGCTTCTGCTCAAGGTATTGAACAGCACTATCATCCAAGTCAGTAAGCCGATAGTTTTCTCTCTAAAGCATCTTCTAATGTGTGAATCAGAGGATATTACAAACCTTCGAGGAACTTCACTGGAATTTTGTCGATTGATTGCGGTACATTCAACACCGGCTGAAACGCATCGCAAGCATCTCGGCGTTCCTCTATCACACTGAAATACACAGCTTAGACTCACTGTGCCCTATCGCCGTTCTCCACAGACTTTACCTTTTGCTTTGATTTGTGACATCTAGCACATGCCGGGATGGATCTGTGCCTCTTGGACTTCGGGCTTGCAACTATATCCATTTCTCATCCTTTTCTTAAGGTGCGGTATACCAGTCGATTGGTTCAATCGATTGAGTATACAAAGAAGGTCAGGTTGCTGCGGTTGTCTGGTTTGCTTCCCAAAAGCTGTTCCAACGAGCACTGGGAGTGGGAAAGAATCAGCCCGCCAGTGCGGGGAGTAATATATGTAGATCACACGTGACTTAGATCCAACACACCCACTTCCATCTACCAAGCATAGAGCAGCCAGGTAACTCTTTCAAAATTGGTGTAAAGCCCTGAAGAGTAAGTCGAACCCCGTAGTCAGTCTAATGTTGTAATAAACATTTCATATTGCCTTCTTTCGCGATGCTGCGTTTTCGTCTTCCCTTGGCCATGCTGAGGTTTGAAGACGTGAGAATAATATTTACGTAACTTGTTAGGCGTGTCATGGATGTGCCCTGTAATGAGATGAACTCCATTTACAGAGCTAGAACAGAGCATAATTAGTCATTCGTCGGCGTACCTTATGGCCCCAACATAGCAA